AATTCAATAGTCGACTCTACCACGTGAACCGTGGGCTTTTGATTGAAACAATATTATACGAGACATTTCTTGTAGAAATGAGTGTATCCAATGCTCTCGGAAGAGTCATTGACCAACGACTAAGGCATGAAACAAGTGCATTTGAAAATCAATTTGGTTTTATGCCAGGAAGGTCAACAACTGAGGCTATTTTCCTCCTTAAGCAACTGATTGAGAAGTTAGTGATGCAGGGAGAAAATAACAACTAGATTAATAAAAAAAATAAATAAAAGAAAAACACCTCTCTCAAGATCTGCAAGGGAATCCACCTCAAAAACAAAGTCTGCAAGGGAATCCACCCCAAAAACAAAGTCTGTTAGGGAATCCACCTCAAAAAGATCTTATCACTAGATCAACTTTATTCAACCCTCTTTGATCATTATCTGATCTGTTTACAATGAGGGACCTCTTCCCTTTAAATAGATTTCAAAAAAAAAAAAAGACTTACCTCTCTAACTTTTACAAACTTTTCCCTATTTTATCTCTCCTCCCTATTTCATCTCTTCTCCCTATTTTCTCTCTCCCACTTATTATCCATATTTCTCAATCTTTATCTGATCTTTCCCATATCTAACTCCCTTATCTTTCTCCTATTTAAATACCCCCTTAAATTTCTCACGATAACTAACTAAATCTTTTAAGCAACTTTAAAATAAGATAAGCTTAAAAGAATCTCACACCACCTTTCCTAAAAACCATTCCTAAAAATCTGCATCATTCTCCCCAGGTTGGGAGAAGGTCTACCTCGAGCTTAAAGCGGATCTCCTTCATCACCATGCAGGATTATCTCTTGAACTTGATCTTCTTCTGGAACTTTAGCCACTTCCTTAACCAAGTGTACCTCCATCCTCTTTTTTGGGCATTCATATGCACGGTACCCTGTCTCTTTGCATCGATAACACATGAACTTTGCAGTATCTCTTTTCTCTTAATTAAATTTTGGTTGGCGCGGAACCTCCTTTTGGATGTAAAATCTCTTATCGCTGCTCCCTTGCTCCCTTGATATTTAATTTCTACTCGTAAAGCAACTTGAAAAGCTTCACTTAAAGTCTATGGCGGATGTAGAAAAACGTCATCCTTAATGGTAGGTTGAAAGCTATTTACATATCGGGCAACCTTTTGTCCTTCCGTTCATGGAGGTTATTTCGTGCAATTAATCGATAAAACTCTCCTATATAATCTTCTACTTTTTTCTCACTCTGTCGAAGATTTTGGAGTTCTTGAAAGAAAATTTGCTCATGATCTACAGGAAGAAAATTTTCTTTCAATTTCTTTTTCATCTTTTGCAGGTCAATAATTTTTCCTTTCCCACTACAAAGTCGGGGTTTGAACTTGCTCCCACCTGGCGGCAGCATACCCGCGGACCTTGGTAGCAACAAGTTTAACCTTACGTTTCTCTGGCAATTGACTCCATTCAAAATAATTCTCATTTGTACTTAGCCAATCAATAAAAGTTTCAATGTGGAGCTTACTATGAAATTTCGGAAGATCGATTTTAATATCGAAATCTCGTGGTTGCTCCACAGGATGCGGATCTCATCTGCAAATTTCTTCTTGACATTCTGGATCAGCAGCCCGGGTCGGTCGGAAAGCTTGATTTGTCTCTATAGTGAGATTTGGCACCAAGTTGAGGTTGCGAGCTTCCCCTTCTTGATGAATGATGTCCTCTAAGCATTGCAACCTCTGATCCGTTCACCTATTTCTCGTCGGATACCCTCCAACACCGTATTCAAGCACTCCTGAATTTGCTGACCCACATAATCCATGAGTTGCGGCAATATATCCTCAAACGTAAGCACAGTTTTCGATGACATCGTAACTGTTCGATCTTGCTTTGATACCAACTGATGTAGGGAGAAAATAACAACAAGAATAAAAAATAAAAAGAAAAGCGGTCGAGAGAATAAACCCTCTCAAGGTCTGCAAGGGAATCCACCTCAAAAACAAAGTCTGCAAGGGAATCCACACAAAAAATCTGATCATTCTCTGATCTGTTTACAATGAGGGACCTCTTTCCTTTAAATAGACTTCAAAACACATAAATAAAACAAGGACCTCCCTCTTGAATGTTTACGAACGTTTTCCTATTTTCACTCTCCTTCCTATTTTCTCTCTCAATTTTTCTCTCTCCCACTTACCACCCCCTATTTTTCAATCTTTATCATGATCTTTCCCATATCCAACTCCCTTATCTTTCTCCTATTTAAATACCCCTTAAATTTCTCACTAAATCTAACTAAATCTTTTAAGCAACTTTAAAATAGGATAAGCTTAAAAGAAAACCTATCTCACTCTACCTGTCCTAAAAACTATTTCTAAAATTCTGCATCATTTAGGGTGAAGGGAAAAGACCTCCACATAGTCTTTATTGATCGAGAGAAAGCTTACAATAGAGTACCTCGAGATATGATTTGGCAGGTGTTGGAAAAGAAAGGCGTCTCTAGACACTACATCGACTTGGTGATAGATATATATGATGGGGTGGTTACTAGCGTACGTACAACTAGTGGACAGACGAGTGAGTTTTTAGTGACAATAGGTCTACATCAAGGATCAGCATTGAGCCCCGTACTACTTTTTCTTAGTTATGGACGACTTAACTAGGCACCTACAAGATGAGGTACCGTGGTGCATGTTGTTCGCAGATAACATAGTTTTGATGGATGAGACCCAAAACAACGTCAACACAAAGTTAGAACTTTGGAGGGATGCTCTAGAATCCAAAGTTTTTTAAATTAGTTAGACTAAGATAGGGTACATGGAGTGCAAATTTAGTAATAAAAGGAGCAGAGAAGAGAAAGTAGTCAAGATTTACGGCCAGGAAGTACAAAAAAGACCGCACTTTCGATTGATAATCCAGGAAAATGGAAAGATCGAGAAAGATGTCGCATATAGAATTAGAGTTGGGTGGGCGAAGTGGAGATGTGCAACTAGAATTTTATGTGATCGCTGCATACCAATTAGGCTGAAGGGCAAGTTCTATAGGACAAAGGTGCGATCAGCTTTGCTCTATGGAGCGGAATGTTGGGCGGAGAAAAAACAATATACCCATAGAATGAGTGTAGTGTAGATGACGATGTTGAGATGGATGAGTGGCAAGATAAGAAGGGATAAAATTCGCAAGGAATCTATTCAAGCGAATTCAAGTGTGGCACTAATAGGTGATAAAATGAGAGAGGGTAGACTTAGGTGGCTGGCCATGTGTGACGCCGACCCATTACAACGCCTGTTAGGAGGTGCGAAGTAGTTTAAGTGGAAGAACTGAAAAGGGCAAGAGGTAGGCCCAAAAGGACGTGGTTGAAAGTATGAAAAGATATAGAGACTTACGGCTTCACTGAGGATATGGTCTTTAATAGAGCAGAATGGAGAACCAGGATTCATGTAGCCGACCCCAATTAATTTGAAAAAAGCTAAAATGATGATGATGACATTTTTTGTAGAAGTGTTAAACGTGCAAATAGACAATGAAATCTCCTAACACATATGGTCATGGTGCTGAGACTGTGTTTACAAGTGTAGAAACGTGTTGGACTTGGACAAAAGTGGAGTACTTCGGCATCACCGGCAAAACCCCTTGATGAAATTTGGGAGATGGAGTCTAGTCAATAACTTTGGTACATATAAATAGGTTTCTTTTTGTTTTTGGGTTAGTTTTCATAATAATGCTAATTTCATACTTAATCTACTACATTATTATTTAATCTGCTGGTACAAAGGTCAACTTTTTTGAGCCAGAATTCGGTCATCTTGCTTCGATGATTGAGTAGAATTTCAAAAAAAAAAAAAAGAGAAAAATGATTGAGTAGAATTGTCTGGACAATAGAGATCCCATATGCTACTTTTTGATAAGTTTTTTTGCCTACTTGATTTATATTCTAACCCCCTCTCCCCGATTTCTCTCTCTCTCTCCTCTCCCTCCCTCCCTCTCCAATCCTCACATACACACATGCACATGCAAACATACGCACACACATATCAAGTGGGCTGAGATTAAACCCTAAGACACCTATCTATGTGTACCCATAGGTGACATACAAGTCTAACACACGTCAAATCAAGGTTTTAGAAAACGGTCCGCCCGGTGCCTAAGCACCTAAGATACCTCTGGCTGCACGCCTAGACCTGGGCACCCCGATGTACTTAGGTGGGAGCCTAGGGATGTGACCTTTTTTATTTATTTATAAAGTAGCCCAAAAGGGCAAATGGGATAATTTTTACCCCAAAAAGGTTTAAATAGGTTATGGGCGTTATTTTCAACCCTTGAACCCTTCCATAAGCCCTTGATGTCTTCGACAGTTGGATGTTAGATTTTTGGCCGTTTTTGGATAATTTTGTTGTTTGGGTTTTATACTTTTGTAAGTTTGTTGAAGACTCGGAGAGTTGGAGACTTGGAGTCCATCTTATTATGGAATATGGAGAGTTAGAGAGTATCACGAATATATAGGCTATTAGACTTTTACATTTTTTTAAATTGTGGTTTGAATTTTGAAATTTTGAACAATTTTATTCTCAACATGCAATATATCATGTGTTTGTATATAAAAAAGTATATTACAATATTTTCAAATGCAATAAATTATAAAATTGACACAAATAGCATATGTTATTTATACAAAGAATTTGTACTAAAGGGCGCTTGAGGCTCTCTGGGTGCCAGGCCGGCTGCCTAGCATTTTTGAAACCTTGCATCGTATAGAATGTTTGCCCAGAACATGAATTTCTTCATCACTAGAAATATGTCTGTCTGCTCATTCTTTTGTTAAGTTGAATTCATCAATAGAATTTGATTCAAATGGCTAACAATTGCTGATATCTAACAGATTGTATTTGTACAGGTTTATTTTTGTTAAATTTCCTTTTGAAAACGTTAACCCATTAATTATGCAGTAGAGGTATTCAGATACTTCATGTATTACTGAAACCAGTATGCAATTAAGAGATGTGAGTTTCGTCATGTGTAGCTTGCTGTGGAGTACGAAAAGAATGTGACAATTGTCAAGGTAGACACAGATGATGAATACGACTTTGCACATGACATGCAGGTTTGTATGCATAAACCAATATAAGATTTCTAAAGAGTATAACATACTATGGAAAATCAAGCACATTGAGGCCATCACTGTTTGATCGAATGGACGGTGTTGGGGAGAGAGTGGAATCCCCCAACAGGTTCACATCTCGTTCTGCTAAAGTCCCACTCTCCATCACCGTTCACCATGATGATGGTTTTCATGATCCATTCAATTTCCCTTTCATCAGCACTGATTTCATTCTCTACACAAAATGGGGTCAAAGGTATTTAGAGGATTTTGCAGTGCTTTTCCTTATCCATTGTAGGTTCGGGGGTTGCCAACGCTGCTGTTTGTGAGCCCAAATCCTGATAAAGAGGCCATACGAGCTGAAGGACTTATCCCAATACAAATGATGAGAGAGATTATTGATAAGGAGATGTGAAATTCTCTTTCTTATGAATGTTAAATGTGAAGGTCCTTTTCTTTTTGATATTATTGATCAGATGTGAATCTCTGTCTCTCATAGTGATAGAGTGGTCTACAAGCTTTTCCTCTACGACTCCATCCCAAGGTCCGAGGGCCTCTGAGGCCATAAATATCCTCCTCTCTCTATCTCTCCCTTTCTCTCTCTCTATATATATAACGAAACTATGACGTGTTGGGATGGATGAAGAGCATGCCGGTCTTTGAATGCCGTTCCCAAATTTATCAAAAAAAGGTCTTCTTAATTAAAACTCAAAATAATGACCAATGAAGCCTTTTTTCAGTTTCTGGATATGCCAAAACAAGACCTTATTCTGACTTCATATCATCTAACAAAACCTGGATTGGTGGGGGTGGATTGTCCACAGCATAGATCCATCTTGTTAGATCATTGGATAGCTGATTAGGATAGCTCTCAATGATAAATCATAAAATATTAAAAAGTAGAAAATAAATTAAGTGGTTATGCGGAAAGGAAGAGAAATAAGAGAAGGCTGCCCGGGGGGGGGGGGGAGGGAAACACGTAAGAAAACATTAAATACTTGAAAAAGAGAAGACGGGCTTTTAGAGGGGAGTTGGAATTGGTTTTAGTCCCGGTTGACGCCCAATACGGATAAGCGATTTGTTATCTCGATTAGTAGATTTTTTAGGGTTGATGTCTCGACATAATATCTCATCCTCCATTCTATCATCAACCTAAGAAACGTAGAAAAGAAAAATGGGAAAAGAAAAGAAAAATGATCGACACAGAAAGGAAGAAAAAGAAGAGGTAAAAGGTAAATAAGGTAATAAAATATTGGAAAAAAGAGGTAAAAGGTAAATAAGGTAATAAAATATTGGAAAAAATTATATAAGGTTGACACCTTGTATTGTAGAATTAAGGTGCATTTTATGAACCTATGTAGAAAACCTTGATAACTACATGGATAGGGGACTTAGAAGAGCACTATATCATTCATAATCATATTAGAGTTTTA